GGGGGTTACTTCATAAGTCGACTTAATAATTTTCTCGTAGACCTTGAACCATTTCTGCTCAGCCCATTTTGAAAAGCTGCTATCGTTATTCCTTCCGATACATTTGGCAAGGTCATCCTTACCCGGTTAAAACGGGCGAGGAAATCCCTCAGCCTCTCTCCCGGAGACTGTTTCATAGCAAAGATGTCATTTACTCTAGCTTTGGCCTTCTTGGCCCCGGCATGGGCCGTTACGAACTTATCGTCTATTTCCTCAAAGGTCTCGATGGAGCGTGTAGACAATTGCGAATACCAGGTTAACACGCCTCCCGTGAGGGCTTCGTCGAATTTCTTTAGCAGAATGGAGGATACTTGCTCCTTGGCGAGGCCATTTTCTTTCACAACAGTGACATAGTGGGTCATATGATCTTCGGGGTCAGTTGTGTTGTCATATATTTTCAGATAGGGGAGCATCTTAAAGGTCTTTGGTATGGCATATGGGGCAGCACTATCACGGTACGGTTGCTCGACGAGCCGACCGTCATCTCTTTTCGGCAATAGCTTAGGGGCACCCGGTATTTTATCGAACCTTTCTTGGTGTTCTCTTATTTGGTCTCGAAGTGCCTTGTTCTCATTTTCCATTTCCTCCATCCTTTTCAGAATGGTCGTGAGGGCATCATCACCTGCATCGTTAACAACACTGTGAGTAATACATGTCATCGTGGGAGGAGGAGGTTGATCATGTTGCTCATCCACTGGTGGCATGACACAAGTTCTTGCATTTTTTGCGGTCGCGTCCCGAACGGGCTTATGTAGGACGCTGGTCAGTGTATCAGTTAGCCAAGCCTCAAGGAGCTTCTTTATCACTGGTGGTGCCTCCTCTCCCACGAATGTGAAGGTTGTCTTACCAAGAGATTTTGTGATGCTGCAGTGGGAAGAGGATGATCCACCTTGCCTAGGAGAGGTATTGGGCGACGTGTCCTCATCCACTGCTTTAGAGCTTTCGTGGATGATGTTCATGAGGTTGGTTGGGAAGTCACTCATTATGCTAGTTCTTTCTTCTCTGTTACCTATCATATTATACCTATGCATGCAACGAGAAAAATGTTCTTGTTTATTTATTATTATTATTTTTTTTTTTTAATGTTAGTGACTAGTGTCGGTTGTAGATCTAGAGAAAACTAAAATACTTAACTAGAAAATCCCCACAGACGACGCCAAATTATTTGACTAAAAAATATACCTTTCGGCTAAACTGTTAAATCTAAGTAATGATGGGTTAAATCTAGTTAAGGATAATAACTCTAGATGCAAATTTTGGAAATGTGTGTGAGGTGGGGACAAATCCCGTAAATGATTGATGACGACAAATACAAAATATTCCTAAAGTATGAGTAGTAATGAAAGTGTAACTAGAAATAAATGATATTTAATTAAATAGGAAGAATGATTCACCCTATAATTGATGGAGTGAACGAATGTTCCTCTGACAATGATGAGTGACAGAAATATCCAAGATTTGTTTAAGCAATTCTCGGATCTGGTGGAAAGGTGTGGAATAATATTGAACAAGAATCTTTACCAAAAGGTAACCTTTGTATTTTCACAAGAGAGAGAGAATTTTCTTTTGAAAAGTGTTCTTATCAAATGAATATTACATGCCTTTCTTCATTTTCTTTTCCCCTTATATATTTGACAAATATCCCTAGCAAACCCTAATAGTACAAGCGTATAGAATATTCACTAGAATATTCTCTCTAGTATCCCATTGCACATGGTTACTGTTCTTCACACAATGCTCGACCTCGGTCACGGTTGACATCTTGGCTACAAATTTTGCTGCTTCCTGGTCGACCTCGACCGACAATTTGCTTAATGCCATATTACGCTAAATATCCTTAGGGCATATTTTGCCTATACAGTATATATAGGGTAAAAGTATTTTTTAATGTATATATAATAAATATTGTTTTTTTAGTTTTCTTTGTGTATTTATTTATTTACATTTTGAATTTCTTTCGTGAAAATTCCGCCGCATTAAGTTCAACTTCGAACTCCTAAGGTTGTCACCCACTTACAACATAACATAATTACTTCGAACCCATAAGGTTGTCAACCACTTACAACATAACATAATAAATAATAATCCTCTCAACCATATATTGCTTTAAAAGGACCACAAATGAGAGCTAGCAGAAAAAGAAAACCATGTGCAAGCAAACTTTCGACAGTTTCAATGATAGAAACTTAGCATAACAATTCTTGGCTTCTACTCCTTCACTTGTATGAATATCTGAGAGATTCCCTCACTCTCACTTTTTTTTAATTTTTTCCTCTCAAGGGCACCTTACAAAAGCGGATCGATGATTTAAAACCATTAGATGTGAAAATATTATTGTATCTGCAAATCGGAACTAGCAAGCAAATTAAGCTGGAGATTTAATATTAGAACAAGAAGATGGTTTTAACGATTAACGATTGTGTTGTTAAATTAATATTTTTTCTCACTCAAATCAGATCCATCTTGCAACAAATTGAAATAACCGTCATCGTCGAAATGAGGTGAAAGCTAACCTTAAAAAAATGCAATTCAATGCTACATTATATTTTTGCTACTATTTACAAAAATCACTGTTGGTTAATGTTGGTCATACAAAAATCACTGTCAATGAATGTCTTAGGAATAATGTGAAAATATTATTATTTGCATTGAGATTCTGTAAACTCATTTAATCGAAGGACGGAAAAGCTTCCAAAAGTTTAATTTTAATTTGATACACAGCCTAAGCTTAAACTATTTAATCGGAATTAATTCTCTATGTTCAAATTAATCTTGATCAAGTGTGTTTCCATGTCTAGACCCAAGGAAAAGAACTTTTAAATTTCTAGTTAAATGTTCCACTTGTAATAAATTAGCCAACTCGTTCTAGAGTTATTATTGATACTACTATTAATAATGCAGATAATTATTAATCTATCTGTAGCTACGGCCATGTTCATTCCCGCTCATTTCCTCGTTAATCAGTTTTTCAAATTAAACCACCTCCACCAATGGCGACTGGCGAGGGCCACTTTCCGTCTCCACGTCACACCATCCTCATTCAAATAAAGCCCACTCTCCTCCAATATATTTCGCACAAAATAAAATAATTTATAAATTTGAAAAATCAAACTCTGAAAATTCATACGCCTCCATTGATTCTCACCTCTCTGCAGTTCTCCTTTGTCTTAAAGTTTTTCTCACTGAGAATTTTAGCTGCATATATATACTTGAAGAACAGCTGCATCGTACACATATAATCGTAGTATTGATTTTTCGTTAAACAGAGTGAGGCGGTTCAATGGCGGCTTCTTCGTCGAGAGGGAGAAGTAGCTCGCCGTTTCACTACCGTAAGTCATCGAGTCCGTACTCGTCTACTTCGTCCTCATCATCTTTCATGAACGGAAGGTTCATGCCGAAATCATGTTCGTCCACGGCGACGTCGTTTTTCGGCTCTGGAACTGGCTTCAGCTCCAAATCCACGACTCCAAGCCGGAACCGGACTGATTCGGCGTATTCACGAGGTTACGGAAATCGTACGCCGGTAGATTTTCAGTCAATGGAGGAGTTGATTGCTGAGCCAGTGGATATGTCCAGAGCGGGAGAGAGTATTTCGGTCACAGTTAGGTTTCGGCCAATGAGGTAGATGCTACATCTGCTTGAATTTATTTCAATTTTCGGAATTTGAGTGTCCTACTGTAGGGTTTGAGCTTGGAATTAAGGTAATTTTTTGTGACAGCGAACGAGAATATAACAAAGGCGATGAAATTGCGTGGTATGCTGATGGTGATAAAATTGTACGGAACGAGTATAATGCTGCAACAGCTTTTGCATTTGGTATATTCTAGTCAATTGTATATTCTATTTGGGAATGGTTTGATATTTCACTTGTTTGGAGGAGATTCACTTATATATTTGCTTTGGGTAATTGGCAGATAGAGTTTTTGGACCTGATACATGTACACAGGAGGTTTATGAAGTTGCTGCTCGACCTGTGGTAAAGGCTGCAATGGAGGGCGTAAATGGTATGATACTTACTGCCATGTTGTAACACTAGAAAACAGTTGCATTTTTGGGCTAAATGGAATGGAGTGGCATTATGAAATAGTCATACTTAATGTGAGTTCAAGGGCCATGCTCCGTGAAAATTAATTTGTGCTAAGTGATGCTTAGTTGACATCCAATATATTCGGAGTAGTTGAGTGCTAATTTAGTCAAGTATCCTCCCAATGTGCTGACCTAAAATAGGTTCTTGAAACCATCGGGCTATAATGTTGAGCTGATCTCTTATTATTTATGTGTTGCCAGTTGCATTTGCAAATGTAATTCAATTGATACTTAGCTTCTGTAATTTGACACTAGGCCTGCTGCATATGCAGGCACAGTATTTGCTTATGGTGTTACAAGTAGTGGAAAGACACACACTATGCATGTAAGTCAATATATCCTTTTTGCAATCTTCTTTTTCCCTTGAATGTGGAAAGCGCTTCTGACGCTTTTGTTACATCCCCAAACAAACAGTTTAGAAGATTTAATTGCTAGCAACTGACAAAATTTCAATCTTAAGTGTAATGTGTTAGCTGTATATTTATATAGTCAATTAGATGGTTCAAGACGGTATTTAAATTTGTCTTCAATTGAAATTTTGTTTCCCCCCTCCCCAAAAAACTTCCAACAACATCAAGCTTTTGTTATCTTAATGTTGGATCTATGTTTCCACAGGGAGATCAAAGTTCTCCAGGTATAATTCCGCTTGCAATAAAGGATGTTTTTAGCATTATTCAAGATGTAAGTGAGCTTACAATTTACTGATTCTGAAATTTTAATAATGCACCTCTCTAGTATGACACTCTAGAGCTCTATAGCCCTTTTCTTAAAAAACAAATCCTCCATTATCTTTTATTGTTGCTAACTATTGAAACCTGCCTTTCAGACTCCTGGACATGAATTCTTACTTCGTGTATCATATCTTGAAATCTATAATGAGGTTAGTAGTGGACATCAGCTTCTTTACCAGATGGTCATGCATATATAAGCATCTTTCTTGCAGATTTGGTATCCATGTTATATTCTGAGCTCATGTGAAATGTGATTCATCATACCTGCAGCATAAAACATTTTTTTTTATACAATATGGAAAATTTGATAGTAGATTTAGCATCTTTCTTATGAACTTGTTGCTTTAACACTTTCTAATTTCTTATACTAATTCATGAGCATCTCTCTTTAGGCATTTTTCATCTCATCCATGTTAAAATCTTGTACTAAATCTAGCTTGAAATCATGCACATACTCTTCTTGTTCATGTTGTCAGGTTATCAATGACTTGCTGAATCCAACAGGACAGAATTTGCGTATTAGGGAAGACACCCAGGTTTTTATATAATACTACTACTTTTGCTGCTTCTGGCAATTTAATTCCACTTTCTCCACAACTTATGTTTGTGGTTAGTTTTTATCTTTCTTTCTATATGTTTACCGATAAACAAGTCTATTGTTTTTATGAGAGGAATCGAAGAATGGTTCTATCTCTTATGGGCTATGGACAACCAATTCAGTAAATTTTAAAATACGTTTCTGACATGTTATCATATGCTCGAGTCTTGAATTTATCAGACAAAATTTCACCAAACTTATTAACACCTATTTAACTCTTGGCATGTATCAAGAAAGAAACAAAATCTAGCATTCTTTTTGTTACCAGAAGTATAAAAAAAACTATCATTACCTACCAGCAACTGCAGGTGGTGTTTTCAGTGTGTCGTTGTTCTAATAAAAAACAGATATTCATGCTTCCCTATCATAGTTCATGATTCTAATGCTGCTGTATGGATCTTAATTCTTTTATTCTTGCGATTCTGCAGGGTACTTATGTTGAAGGTATAAAGGAGGAAGTTGTTTTGTCACCTGGGCATGCTCTTTCTTTTATTGCTGCTGGGGAAGGTAACTGTTGAATCTGTTCTTGTTTTTTGTCCGATAGTCACATTTATTCATAGCCAAGGTTTTGTGTATCCTGGTACTGATTACATTCTTACTGTTGCAGAGCACCGCCATGTTGGTTCAAATAATTTTAATCTGTTTAGTAGCCGCAGTCACACAATATTCACCTTGGTTAGTGGATCAGATGTTCACTATGATACATACATTTCTTTGGTTGATCTGAAATTTTGCTTATCTTCTGCGCTAAGTGAGCGTGAGTTTAAACCCCTCACAACCAGCATAAAAAATCAGTTTTTTGGTGGCCGAAGGCTTAAATGTTTCGGTTCAAGCTATTACTATTGGGTTCAAACACAAGTTTCTGGGAAGTTACTACCTTTGTTATCAACTGTGACATTTTAGAGCTTTCAAATGCCTTGAGGATTTTAGTTGAGAGTATTGGTACTCTTAACAGTTTATGCTTTTTGATGAGGCGATGCGCATAAGAGCGACTGAATTTGGTTCACATTGTTGGAATAGCTTTGTTGTGTTTCCCTAATGGGCTGTGATTAATTTCTGTTTCTTAACCTCCTACAACTAGCAGTTTAATTTTGCAACTGGTAATTGGTGATGGGATTTATTAGTCAAGTCTGACTGTTTTCTCTTTCATTACACATTTTGCAGATGATTGAAAGTAGTGCCCATGGTGATGAATATGATGGTGTGATCTTCTCACAGCTTGTATGGTTTCTCGCACTATTTGTTCAGCATCGAAAATATCAACTGTTGAATGATACCAGCTAATATTAATGTGTTTTGTCCCACAGAACTTGATTGATCTAGCTGGATCTGAGAGCTCTAAAACTGAAACTACAGGATTACGACGAAAAGAAGGCTCATACATAAACAAAAGTCTCCTGACTCTTGGAACTGTAAGTACTTGGAAACAATTGTTGACAGTTTGTATGTAGGTTTCCCAAAAAAGTTGCATAATGACATTTGTCAGTGTTCTGATTGACTTCCTCCTTACCTACCAGTACAATTGATCAGTATCTGTGTTCTTTCTTGAGCTCGTTAAAGGATTAGATGAACTTCTACTTCTGGGTTTATTTCAATCTGACACGTTGATTCTTCTCTCATGCGTTAAGGTCATTGGAAAATTAAGTGAAGGGAAGGCATCTCATGTTCCGTATCGAGATTCTAAACTTACTCGTCTACTACAATCTTCACTTAGTGGGCATGGACATGTTTCTGTAAGTGCAATTGAGCACATGTCGTGCTTATCCCTTGAATTGATCATATGAAACTGCTCTCTTATCCTATTGGGTGTGCATCCTCTGATTCTTAGCCTTTGGTGTCTTTTGTGAGACATTTTTGCATCTATGCTGCTTGGCATGAAGTGTACTGAAGAGATGACTAGTCCCTGCTTCTTGTTGATTGTAGCTCATATGCACTGTTACTCCTGCTTCAAGCAATATGGAAGAAACCCATAATACGTTAAAGTTTGCAAGCAGGGCTAAGCGTGTCGAGATTTATGCATCACGCAACAAGGTTTGCCTGTCTGCATCACTTCAGTTTTATGGAATTGCAGTAAGAAGGCTGAATACTCATATATCTTTCTTTCAGATTATTGATGAGAAGTCACTGATTAAGAAATATCAGAAAGAAATATCTTGTCTCAAGCAAGAGCTTGATCAGCTAAGAAGAGGGGTGCTTGTAGGAGTCAATCATGAGGAACTTATGACCCTGAAACAGCAGGTATGCATTCAAGCCAATGATTTGGTAAACTCTGTCTACAGCTTGAGGTCAAATATGTCATGTACAACTGATGCCATGTTCGAGGATGCCTGTACTTAGCTACTAACATGTTTTCTTTGGATGTACTCCATCCGTTTAACTTTATATGGCAGTCTCTATCTTGGCACAAAGTTTAAGAAAGATAAAAGACTTTTGACTCATAACCTAAAACAATTAACATTCCCAAAGTGCCCTTTGTATCTTGTGGTAAAAATGTGTCATGTCGATTCCACAATGGCATGCCATTAAAGGAAAAGAGAAAATTTTAAAATTAATGAGTTCCAAGTATGAAAATGTGTCAACTATCCTGGACTGGACCATAAAGGAAAACTACTATGTAAATTGGAACATAGGGTGTTATTGGTTCTGTATTTTGTTATTATGAACCATCTTTTCACAGTTGGAAGAGGGACAAGTGAAGATGCAGTCAAGATTGGAAGAGGAGGAGGATGCCAAGGCTGCTCTACTGAGCCGGATACAGAAGCTAACTAAACTGATCCTTGTTTCTTCAAAGAATTCAATTCCTGGGTATTTGGGGGATGTTGCTGTACATCAGAGGAGTCAGCCTGCTTCTGAAGATGATGTAGGCCGCTCTCTCTATTTATCTTGAGTTCTATTTCTATTTGCCACTCTTTGCCCACTAGAACTCTGGTTATCATTTCTGAATTTAGATTTTAGATACATCAAATATGTTGTGATTTTCGCAAGACTTTCACGTACTACTTGTCACCAGTGTTCTTCATATTATCTTACATAGATTTTAATACTGTCACTCCCCTTCAAGAGGGTAAATTAAGCTTCTCTTGTCTCTTTTTCTTTCTGATTACTATTTGCGTGCAAATTTTCTGGCATTCTGATCTAGATATGGAATCTATTTTCACATACAGATTCGCTGAAATATCGCCTGATATAGATATAGAATCAATTTTCTTAATTGATCTTTTATCTTTTCACCTTCAAATATAAAATCTATTTTCTAAATTGATCTTTTATTTCATCCTTCCACCAGAAGTTGGATGGTTCTGTGCTCATTGATGGCGAGAATCAAAGAGATCCTCCATCAGAGACTTCTGATTTCAAACACAAAAAATCTTCAAGCAAGCGGAATGATGATATCTCCCAGGCTGGAAGTACGATTACTGAATCAACTCAGGCGGGTGAACTTGTCAGTGGTTCTTCCTGTGGTTCAAAGCTGCCCATAGTATGATTCTTCCTTCTTCATAACATTCTAAAGGAGGAGACTTCATCATTGTTCTTAATTCCTCTTCCTATTTATTGCATCATTTGTAGGTTCATATTTGGAGTTGTTATTTTTAACCCACATGTAGTTAAGCTTACTCTGAATAGCCCTCTAAGGTCTTTGCCTTTGCATGGAGTTTGACTTTTTTATATCTATATTTTTTTTTTCAAGTATTGAATTTTCAAACTTCCTTGGATACGTACATTTGAGCATTCTCCCATGTTGTTTCAGGATTGAGAAGTTATTACTTTTCTTTCAAATCTTGTTTTTTCTATTAAGATTACTTTTTTCAAATGTCTAATTCTTATATATTGGATACTTCTCCATTACATATCAAATGTTAATTCCTTCAACTTTTAATGCTTTATTTGTTTTTCTGGTTGAATATAGGAAGGAGTTTCAATGTCAGATCAGATGGACCTCCTAGTTGAGCAAGTCAAGATGCTTGCTGGAGAGATTGCATTTAGTACGAGTACATTGAAACGAATGATGGAGCAGTCTTCGAATGATCCTGAGAATTCAAAAACTCGTACTGAAGTAAGCTCTATTTTGTCTTTGTGGACTGAATCCTTTATACATATGATGGTTAGTAATATGATGGATGTGGTGTGGGTGCTATAGCCATATATTGGGTCTTAATTTGAATACTCTGCAGCTATATTTTGCAGTCAATAATCTTCTCCCGAAATTCGCGAACAGTTAAGATATATTTTTGAAATTTAAAGAATTTGTAATTGATGCTTCCTCAAAATTCAAGGCATGGTAGTGGTATATCCTACTTGTGAATCATATCGGGATCTAGTGTCTTCAGTTGTTTCTAATCCTCAAAGTCGCTAGCATGTTAAATCCTTGACGGGTGTGTAGGATTTTGTTGTTAAGCAACAACAGCTGTATGATTTTCATGAAAACTACTTATTGTTTGTTCTTGTGTACATAGAGGTCTTCTGTTTTTAAGATCTTTTCTCACCGTAATTCCTAAACCTGTGACAGATTCAAAGTTTGGAGCGTGACATTCAAGAAAAGAGAGAGCAGATGAGGATCTTAGAACAGCGCATTGTTGAAATTGGTGAAGCATCAGTCGGCAGTGCGTCTTTAGTTGAAATGCAGCAGGTGATTTCACATCATTCCCTTTTCAACCTCATAGGTTTTCTCTTTCATGGCGGTTTGTGGTTGTCTCATAGTTCTGTCTTTTGTCAGACTTTGCTGAAGCTGATGACACAATGTAGTGAACAGGGCTTTGAGCTTGAGGTTGGTAACCAGATTAGTCCTTCCTTGATTGCACCAATTCAATTATTTTAAAGTCAAATCTAAAGAATTTTCCTTTCTATCACTGTGCAGAACATCTATTATATAAAGTTGTTTAGAAATTGACTTTTGAATGCAGATAAAATCAGCAGACAATCGGATTCTCCAGGAAGAACTGCAGAACAAGGTGAAAAAACACCATTACTTATCTTTGTTGTTAATCAAACTAGTGTTAGGACCCGCGCGATGCGCGGATAATTTAACAGAATATTAATGTTATGAGGTTATGATCTAATATATTAAATTATTTTAATAAATATTAGTTATTATTTTATTATTTCATGTATGTACAGAAATATAAAAAAAATCTATACAAAATAAAAAAAATACACATTAAAATAGTAATCGAATAAATTATTTTTTCCTTATTACTCTTTATTATTATTAAATTAGCAAGTACTTAGTACTATACATTTACTAATGTGAATTTTATTAACTTGTCAATTATTTTTATATTTTGAAATTACTTCTCTTTTTTATAATATAGATATATATTTATTACTCTGAAAATATTTTTTTTAAAAACCTTATGTTATACTGTTCAAAATTGTCTAAATTTATCAATAATTTTATTGAGTGTTATTTATTTATTTATTATTTATTATTCATTATTTATTAATTAAGTCTATAAATATCATAAAATTCTCTTTATCCCTATCTTTGCGTACAATCTTTTCTACTGTAATATTTGATTAGTTTCTTATTTTGAAATTTACTAAAAATTAAAATAATGTAATATTTTTTACTAAATTATAATTTTAAATTCATCAAAAGTATAAAGATATAAGCCTTTTTATTATTTTTATAAAAAAAACTACCAATATGTATAATTATATATATATATTTATATATATATATATATATATATATAAGAGAGAGAGAGAGAGACTACTATATTAGGAAATAACTACTCCCCAATTTGAATTGAAAGATTTTTATTTCTTTATTTTATTTTAATTATTTTAAAATAATTTTAAAACTCCAAGTTAAAACTACTCCCCAATTTTAATTTGCATTTTGTTTTAAAAAACATTCTATATTTCCAACTTGAAATTACTCCCCAATTTGAATAAGTAGTTTTTTTTTGGTTTTTCTTATTGTAGCTAATTATAAGATATCTATATTTTTTAATTCAAATAGAGTAACCAATTAATTTAAAAATTCAAAAGGTTTTTTAGTTAGAAATGTAGTTTATTTTGTCTTAAAACTCCAACTTGAAACTACTCCCCAATTTGAATTGGCAATTTTATTTTATTTTTAATTTCGTTTTTTATTGTAAAATAATTTTGAAACTCCAACTTGAAACTACTTCCTAATTTGAATGGGTATTTTTTTAATACATATTTTTTCCTCTTTTTGTTTCATCTAATTTTTTTCTTTATAAATAATCTTAAAACTCCAACTTGAAACTATTCCCCAATTTGAATGGGTATTTGATTTTTATATTTTCATATTTTCATTATAGCTAATTATAAGATATTTATATTTATATCATTCAAATAGAATAACCAATTAATTCAAAATTTAAAATTCAAAAGGGTTTTTTAGTTAGAAAAGAAGTTTATTTTGTCTTAAAACTCCAACTTGAAACTAATTCCCAATTTGAATTGGCAATTTTTATTTCTTTAAAATCTACACTTGTCGTCTTATGGTTATACCACTTGGCATCATATAATTATTTACTTCTTTTATATATATATAAAATAAAATAGATATTTATATAGACTACTTTATTAGGAAGAAAGTACTCCCCAATTTGAATTGAAATTTTTTTATTTTCCTTATTTTATTTTAAAATAATTTTAAAACTCCAACTTGAAACTACTTCCCAATTTAAATTGAAAGGTTTTTTATTTTTTATTTTCGTTTTTTTATTTTAAAATAATTTTAAAAGTCCAACTTGAAACTACTCCCCAATTTTTGTATATTTCACTTGACTTCCCAATTTGAATGGGTATTTCTTTTATTTATATATTCCCGTTTTTTATTATAGGTATTTTTACTTTTTCATTTGTTTTTTTAATTTTAATATATTTTTATAACTCCAAATTGAAACTACTCCCCAATTTGAATGGGTAATTTTTTTTGATTTTTATTATAGCTAATTATAATATATCTATATTTATTAATTCAAATAGAGTAACCAATTAATTCAAAATTTAAAATTCAAAAGCTTTTTTAGTTAGAAAGGTAGTTTATTTTGTCTTAAAACCCCAAGTTGAAACTACTCCCAAATTTGAATTTGTATTTTTTTTTCAATTTCGTTTTTTATTTAAAATAATTTTAAAACACCAACTTTGTTGGAGTTTTGTCCTAAAAATCTATATTTGGCGTCTCATGGTTATGCCACTTGGCATCATATAATTATTTGCTTTTTTTTGGTGTGTGTGTGTATATATATATATAATGACTACTATATTAGAAAGAAACTACTCAGTTTAAATTGGCAATTTTTTATACCTTTATTTCCGTTTTCTATTTAAAAATAATTTTAAAACTATAAATTGAAACCACACCCCAATTTGAATTGGCAATTTTTTATTTCTTTATTTTCGTTTTTTTTATTTTAAAACAATTTTAAAACTCCAACTTGAAACTACTTCCCAATTTGAATGGGTATTTCTTTTATTGATATGTTTCCGTTTTTTATTATTGGTAATTTTACTTTTTCATTTGTTTTTTTAATTTTAATATGTTTTTAAAACTCCAAATTGAAACTACTCCCCAATTTGTATGGGTAATTTTTTTCGAATTTTATTATATCTAATTATAATATATCTATATTTATTAATTCAAATAGAGTAACCAATTAATTCAAAATTTAAAATTCAAAAGATTTTTTAGTTAGAAAGATAGTTTATTTTGTCTAACAACTCCAACTTGAAACTACTCCCAAATTTGAATTTGCAATATTTTTTTTCAATTTCGTTTTTTATTTAAAATAACTTTAAAACACCAACTTTGTTGGAGTTTTGTCCTAAAAATCTATATTTAGTTGTGTGTGTGTATGTATATATATATATATATATATATATCTATATTTAGTTGTGTATGTATATATATATATAGACTACTATATTAGAAAGAAACTACTTCCCAGTTTAAATTGGTAATTTTTTATATCTTTATTTCCGTTTTCTATTTTAAAATAATTTTAAAACTCCAAATAATTTGGATCGTGACAAGGCAAAATCCCGCCACAGGCGTCGTGATGGTACCTAGTCTCTAAGATTAGGTAAGCCGATTTCAATTACATTTTTGAAACCTTTTTAAAAAAATAATAATTAATCAAAACTAACAGCGGAATAAATAAGAATATACAGCCTCCCAAGACTAGTAGTACCGAGTCACGAACTCTAACTGAATACATGGGATGATCACAAAGACCGAATATACAATACTGTTTGATTCAAAATTAACAGTACAATGAAATGAAAAGACTCCAAGGGACTGCGACGACCAAGCAGCTCTACCTTGAATCCTTACGATCCCGCTTAAGCTCTGCCCAATTCTGATATCTCCAATACCTGGCTCTGCACAAAAATGTGCAGAAGTGTAGTATGAGTACACCACGGTCGGTACCCAGCAAGTATCAAGACTAACCTCAGTTGAGTAGAGACGAGGTACAGTCAAAACATTCACTAGTCTAATAACCTGTGCAATATAGTATACAAAATAATATGAAACAAATAACGATAAGGGCAACATAAAACAACCAGTGATGTGCACAGTAAGACAATAGAAATCACCATTAATATCGCACAACAATGGATAAATACAATTACACCCAGTTAAATCAAGTTCTTCAATTAAATATCTTTCACACATAATTCTTACGAATAAACTCTTCTAATATAATTTCCTCAAATAAATATATTTCAAATACAATTCTTTTTGAATAAAAATCCTTCCAAATAAATATTTTGAATATAATTCTTCAATTAAAAGGGCCACCATGTGACACCTCATTTCATAGTCATAAAAATACGGGTCTCAGCCCCTACTGGAAAATAATAATTTCATGGTAAAATATTTAACAATATAATAAAATAAAATGACAATGGAAATGAATCAAGTAGCATGTCACCATTTAATTACACATGGAAAATAATATCTCATGGAATCAAAACAGAATTTCTTTCAACTTTATGAAAATCACAACAAATATTCAAAGGCAACTATGGCCATAAATCAATATCAACAAGGGCACTCATGAGGTACCGCCTCGCAGTCCCAAATCACAATAAATTCACAATATCTCATTTTCTTATCTTACCGCGGGAGCCTTCACAATTTATTTTAAAGAAAACATTTTTCCCAAAATAGCATCCCGCATTTTAGCCATCCTTATCGCACCGCATGACTTCTAGTAGTTCCCCTTACTAGCCACGCGTATCAAGCCACCCTTATCTCACCGCATGCGTTTCAATACCCAGACCTTATACCACCGCATGCGTATCCATATCACAATATATCACAATTTGCACCTCAAATGCTCAAATAATTTAACTTGCCAAAATAATTCAACAACAATATTTTTCCACAATAAAGAGCTCACGGCTCATGCCAAAATAAATCATCAATAATATTTTTCCACAATAAAGAGCGCACGGCTCCATCACAATGAGAACAAAAATCTTACGAAAATATTCAGGAATAAATAATTCAGGAAAATAATATTTCAAACTCTTTAATACGTTGCTTCAATATCAAATTTAAAAATGTCAAATACTTCATATTAATAATATTTATATTAAAGAAAATAAACCTTCAAATAATGCACAGTATAAAAGAAACCAAGTTTCAACTAAACAGGTAAAACAATTAGCAGAAAAAAGTCAAACAAATTTAAACTATATATCTCAGATCAATGATGAAGAATATAACAAGATAAAATAATTTAATAAATGCGCAACAGTGATCTACACAATTTAAAAACATAATCTTTCACATTTAGCCCGTATACACACTCGTCACCTCGTGTACACGACTTTCAACACATTACACTTTATCACTTCAATACCAATTCTAGGGGAAATTTCCCTCTCACAAGGTTAGACAAGTCACTTACCTCGACTTTGCTCCAATTTTTTTTTGATTTTGCACCGGGTGTCCGAGTCTCTTTGAGACCCGACTAATCCCGGGGGTGCACAAGCCCTCGACAAGGAGTTTCCCGCAAGTGCACCACGGTTAATTCAGGTTTTACCCAGTTCGATGGTCCTCAGAAATTGTTTGCACCCAGTGGGTTTCGAACTTGAGACCTTGAAAGGGAGCAAACCCCAAGGCTCAAGTCAATTGCCACCAGGCCAACCCCTGAGGGTTGACTTTGCTCCAATTTAACCAAGTAGTATGCCTTTTCCTCGATTTTCCGATTCCGATCGACTCATATCTAGTCATAATTAATTCGATACAGTCAACAAAAATTATAGGAATCAATTTCATAAGAAAATACTACATTTTTCAATAAAATCCGAAATTAACTCAAAAATGGCCCGTGGGGCCCACGTCTTGGAATCCGGCGAAAGTTATGAAATATGAACGCCCATTCAACCACGAGTCTAACCATATCAAAATGACCAAATTCCGATAACAATTCGACCCTCAAATCCTCAAATCTATCCAAGAAGGTTTTCAAAAAATTTCAACTTAAACCACCAATTAATTGATAGAAACATGATGGATTTGGGTAACCAATTAATTATAAGATATCTATATTTATTAATTCAAATAGAGTAACCAATTAATTCAAAATTTAAAAAGGTTTTTTTTTTAAGCTAAAAAGGTAGTTTATTTTGTGTTAATAATGCCACTTGGCTTTTTGTGGTTATGCCACTTGTGACTTTCCTTTTATTATATATAGATGATCGTTACTTTAATGTTGTCGGTCTGCCAATGGCGGATGTCCAGGATTTATGGTGCTGTCGTTTTTATGTGTTTCAGTGTTTAGAGAACAAGGAACTGCAGGAAGCTATTTGTAATCTTGAGCAGCAGCTAGCCGTACTGAAGGTGGAAAAGTCATACCCCTCATCAGAACAACAGGGTGTATCAGACGAGTATATTGATGACCTTAAAAAGAAAATTCAGCTGCAGGTGATTTATATCCTTCAGCCCAGGATTAACTGACTGCGCATTTGTTTATTGGACTGGTTCTTGTTTAAATTCTTGCGGTATATGGCATCTTTTGGCAGTGGTGATTATGAAGAACTGAGACCAAATTTTATTTTCTTAATTTATTTTCATGAAGATGGTCTCCTGCAGGGGAGGGGTTTGCTGGAGCATATCACCGTTTAATTAACTGAGCTAAGAGATGCAGAGCAGAGGAATCATATGAATCCTTAGTGCCTCTAAAGTCTAAAGATACATTGAGAATTCAAACTAAGACCTACAAAAGTGTTTTATTACTTCCTTTATATAAAGCCTGTAGAAAGCATTAGAAAGGACTCAAAGGAGTGCATTAGTAACACTTGCAAATGCCTTGAAGGGCATCCTGATGGCATGTTTTTTATGAATGAATAGTTTAAGATTTTTTAACTTAGGAATTTAAATTATCGGAGATGCTTAGTCTTTTACCTTATGCTCGATTCTATATAAACATTCTGAACTTGGTGCTGTGATATGAAGCCTAGACACATGATCATTTTGGTCTTTCAATTTCTCTTGGTTAATTTTTCTACGTTAAATTTGTATTTGACTAATGGCTTTACCTGCGTGAAAGCAAGCATTACTAGGCGTTTCTATTAGAGTTCTTCAATCTTCCATTAGTGTTATATCTACAGGAGAACAGTGGATTGCGAGTACAGAACCAGAAATTGTCTGAAGAAGCCTCATATGCAAAAGAATTAGCATCTGCTGCTGCAGTTGAACTTAAAAATTTGGCTGGTGAAGTGACAAAGCTATCGATACAGAATACAAAACTCGAGAAAGAATTGTTGGCTGCTCGCCATGTATTGAATTCTAGAAGTTCCACTGCACAAACTGGTAGTGCTCGCCCTGGAAAGCATGGTGAAAGCCTATGGCAAGGACGTAGAGGTCGGGTTTCTGGACGAGAAATTGAAATTCCTGGAGTTGTTCGTGATGGCTTTGGCACATCGGATCTAGATCCCGTTGATTTAAAAATGGAGTTACAGGCAAGAAAACAACATGAGGCAGCTCTGGAGGCCGCATTGGTTGAGAGGGAAATACTGGAAGATGAGTACAGGAAAAAGGTTGAAGAGGGAAAAAAAAGGGAGGCAGCTCTTGAAAATGATTTAGCAAATATGTGGGTGCTCATTGCTCGGCTCAGGAAAGAAAATGGTGCCCTGCAAGACTTAAAGACAGTAGTAGAAAAGCAGAATGTTGGAGGAGACAATATGAATGATCCAAAAATGAACAATAGTGAGTGCAATGACCACATCCTCGATGATGGCCGGACCATGGACCATGCAACCACAGTTGCAGACATTCTGAAGGAAGACATTCTTGTTGCCCGCTTGAAGGTAATTCTGTTTATCCTTTTCTTGCTACTTAGCACTTGTATCTTGTCACATGTATGTGTTGGGCACGTCCTTGTCATTTGTCTGAGTTGAAGCTCTGTATGCACCTATAAAGAGGCTAGATAAGCTTTATTTTGCTTTTCCCTCTCTATGAAGGATGATCATTTTTGTCTATTTAGTTGTAAAACAAGTGTGAGATAGACTTCGGATCCAGTAAGATATGCTCCTATAAAGAGGCTAGATAAGCTTTATTTTGCTTTTCCCTCTCTATGAAGGATGGTCATTTTTGTCTATTTAGTTGTAAAACAAGTGTGAGATAAACTTCGGATCCAGTAAGATATGCAAGCTTTCTGGAAGATACGAAGGTTGTTTGATTTTTTAGAACAGAGGGGTTGGGGAGAGTAAGTATCCAACATCCACAAGTCATAGGATTAATATACTTTTACTTATTCCATCCTTCCTGCCCTTCCAGGGGTAGGGGTAAGGGTGCGTACATCTTACCCTCCCCAGACCCCACTTGTGGTAAACTATTGGGTTTGTTGTTGTACTTCCCACTTTTGTTCGTATTTGACTGATGATGGCGTTTAAGAAGTTAATATGACATATGATTTTATTGATAACTGGAGAAAATATTAAAGTAGTGGTAAAAGTTAGCTGGGTGGGGAAGATATCACATCAAAGATTAAAATTTGGATAGTGTAATGAATTTTTATTCTTGAAAGTTGTGTAGAAATAGAATTGTATCAAACATTTCGAGACATCTCAAAATATAAATAATGTCATTATAAATGGAAAAAGAGGAAGTATTTACCTTTCAATCATTTGTTGTTCAATGGTGCTTCTGGCATAGTAGTGCGTTTACCGTAGTGCTTTTGAAATGTTCCAACGAATCATAATTCATAAGTAACTAAGAGCTGCAATATAAGCTTTTCTATTTACTGCTCTGTGTCAATCTTTTAAGGTTGTTTCAGGCTAGTCGTATTGTAGTGACTTGCATATTATATATTAGTAATGGAAGAAAATGCTGAATTCACAGTTGGTTTTAGTCATAAGAGAACATTTTTATCTTCTGACAAATAGATTTGAAATTCTTAGAAGAATTTGACTTTGTAGTGTAATATTATTAGCTAAATTGTCTCAAACATTTTAAGATGAAACCTAAAATGGAAAAAATTAAATGGGTAAGGGAATACGTGTTGGTGTTTAGGTTTTTGATAGAAGCTAAGTACTAATAACAACTGTTGTTTTTTAGGTTCCTTGATGACTCAAAGTGTAACGTGAAATATTAAAGATCTTTTACGTGTGCGCTACCAGGCTCGAATGCAAGAGATGAAGGAAAAGGAGCACAGATATTTGGGAAATGCTGATGCAAATTCACATGTATGTAAAGTCTGTTTCGAATCGCCAAGTTCTGCGATGCTCCTTCCTTGCCGACATTTTTGCTGTAAGGCAACTTTCTGATTATGTGCTCAGCTTATCCTCGCTCCCTTGATAGGAGATGTCTAATGTTGACTTAATTTGCAGTGTGTAAATCTTGTTCCCTTGCCTGTGCCGAGTGTCCAATCTGTCGGACTAAAATTACAGATAGAATTTTTGCTTATACTTGAGATGGCATTTCAAGTGCTCGAAAGTTGGTGAAAGGTAAGGTGGTTGTTGAGTTGTCATTGCGGAGATATATAATATAAGTTAGTAATTAAAGGGTTTTCTGTAGTTATAGTCACGCACTTCAACAATCATGAGTCCTAATTTAATTATGCAATAACAATATATGCACAAGTTCTGAAGGCAACTTACAATAAGGTGCTTACTTTCTTTCTCTTTCTCTCTTTGCAGGAAGGTTTTCTTCACTCTCGTGAACCTCCTTTTCTCATGACATTCTTTAAAAGGTCAACTGTACGTAATGTCAAAGTGGTACATCCTTTTTTTTTTTTTTTGGTGCACTTGTCCACCAAGTAACTGTAAATTAAGAAAGACAGGTGCCACAAAAGGAAACAAAGACGAAAATTAGTAAATTTGAACTCAGTGAGTTGCCGCTGGCATAGTTTGATCTCCTTGAGTAAAAGGTATTGTATAGAACACAAGCTACAATGACAATTTTGACTTGACTGTAAATTTTTGAGCTTGTACATCAATCGATGACTATAATCTGGTTCTCTTTGTGCCTGGCATTTCTTATTTGCTGTATCAGATGGTTAATTATCCATTAATCATTTTGGTTTCTGCTTTTACAATAACTATGCCTGTCTTCAGCATGTATTAGATAAGCATAATCTGGCTCACCAGCTAGTCTGGTTCATATCCTCCCTTAGTGCCATCTGGTGTGTTGGATTACTTTAGATAGAAATTATCTTTGGAGATATTTAATTGGGATTGGATTGTCATGGAGATATTTAATTGGGATTGGTCTGAACTGATTGGATGAGATTTTGTTAGGTTACAACAAGGGGTATTATCACTTTTAACCCGCACAAAAAAACTATTTACATTCGATAGCCGAAAAAGTATATAAAATTTGTATAATTTTTGTATATAACATACATAATGTATATATATATAAAAATTATACATTTTCGGCTATTATTTTAAGAGCGATCATATAGTGTCATTTTTTCTTACAATAATACTTAAATTGTATCGGATAAGTTTAGGAGTTTGGCTTGGGGACAAGTTATATCTTGATTTAAAGCATAACTAATATGAATCTTATTGCAACCAATCGCTCGGCTATTAATGACGACTTAAATACCGAGGTTATTTCCCTACTGTAGCCAAACATCCCATTACCGTCATTAAATGCATTTCTCGTGTGATTTTAGTCTTTTACTCGGGCATGCACTGGCCAACCCTGTATTCCCTGATAATAATTCACTCTAAAATTCTAAATGGATCGGTTTTTAGGTTTAAAACCATAGTGGTTGAAGGTATAAAAAGGGTGCAATGTAGACTTGAAATTATATGAATTTTTTTTTTCTCAGAAGAGTTAAAGCCTTTTAGGACATTTAGCGAAAATTAGGAGAAAGTGGAATAAAAAATTCATATAGATGACACTAACTAATAGGGACTAAGGTTTAGTCATGATGCTATTACTTACATTAGATCATGTATTTTACGAGTCTTCTCAGTATGCTTAAAGAATTAAATGAAATATAGAAAACCTCTTATGTTTATATCTAAGAATGGGTCCAAACAGAGCAAAAAAAATGAATAGTGAAACATAGTTATTCCGGTTGTCGTTGTGTCTTATCATAGACTATAGATGATTGAACTGACGTTGATTTCATTTTCATAGACAGTCCATTTTTATCTTAGAAGTTGAGCCCTGAATATAAAAGTTCGTTCTGAAAGATTATAACGACGCTGTTGCTGGGCTAATTTCAGAATCTAAAGGAAAGCCAATAAACACTGCATCAATCTCCCTTAACTAATTGATTTGGCGATGAATACGTAAAATAAATACGATCTCCATATTCAATAATCATAGCGGGTAACAGGCACAAGGCCATCCCACTAGCATTACAAAAAGATTGGCTCCTCAAAAAGAAATAAAAAAAGATGACCCCAGATCTTGTTTGAAAACCCATTCCAAGTCTGATTGACAGATTCTAACAAGTCCAAGTGATTTGACTTGCAAAAACAGTGGGGTTTTTGCTTATAACATGTCCAAAAACCAAGTAACTGTTCAAAATTAGTAACCAAAAGAAAAGGTCAGATTGCTTGTACAGCTCTGTTTTTCTTATATCTCCAAAGATTTATGCCCTTTAGTATTATCGAGTTGGCAGATTGGAGAGTTGATCTGAGGAACAAGAACTCCATTTGTGTTCCTGCTTGCTTTCAACACACTGTATTCTAGAGGCTGAATTTGATGTTGAGGTACCTCCACTTCTTGTAGTGGAAATAAACTAAAAAGCAGGCCGTATCTGATCAAAGTTCTGCAATCAAACAGCATCATTAGTTGCAAGTTCTCAACATATATAAGAAAACCTTTTTAAATTCAATACACTAATACAACACAAGTTTTTGCAAATTGTTAGGTCATTTAAAAGATAATTAAAGGTAATTAGTCAAAATAAGCGAAATTAGTAACTTGAAAAATAAAACAAGTTACCTTATACGACATGTTAAATCATATTGATATGTGAAAATTTATTTACATTCTCGCACGCAGAATTCTAATTAAGTTGTGTCCACATATTGTTACAAGTTTGCATGTAAGTGAGTTAAAGTTTAGGACTATGTTGGTTTTAAGGCTTTACTTCATCTCAAATTGATATTTTCTTTGTAATACTTTCAAGCTGTTTTGAAGAGACATTTTAATGATTTAAAAACATATACTATAAGATTACTTTTTTTTTTTGCAAAGGTGTCTTTGTTATTATTGTCGGTGGATATAAGTTAAATTGTAAAAGAATAGAATGTGTATTAATAGGCAAAAATCTTACCATAGGGAGAAGAACAGGGATATTCAAGAAAATCTTCAACGTGCCAGCCAGGAAGAGTTTCAATCAAATACTCCGATATACTACTGGTTGAAACTGAACCCTCTTGAAAATTAGTTGTTGATTCTACAGTCGAACTACTCTTCAATATCCCAGAACTACTAGTACACGATTTGTAATTACTTGCAGCAGATCCAGTAGGGGATGAAGATGAAGAAGTTTGGTAATTATAAGAAGCAACAACAGAAGAGAGCTGCACTCCAGTTAGAAGAAACCTGTTGTGTTTCTTGGTATGTTCATTTGCTTTGTGTATATGTAAGTCACATTCTTTGCAAAGAATTGCTCTATCTTCTTTACAAAAGAGCAATGCACGTCTTTCCTGCACAAAAAATTACTAATACAATGAGAAAAATAGTTTTACTTATTTTTAAGTTTTATTCTATCATGTCACATAAAAGATAATTATAGATAATCATTTATAAAAAGTAAAATTTACAACCTGAAAAATAAACAAATTACCTGTTGTAATATATTGATTGAGATCTCTTTATACTGTCATTATATAAAAATTAAATTTTTTTAGGAAAGAGTTTAACTTATATACATTTATCAAGGTAAAGAAATTTTACTATATCATGTCATAATATTCATTAAAATGTGATTTACAACCTAGAATATGAGCAAGTTACCAGTTAGAAAATGTCAAAATACATTTAATTATTGTGTAACAATTGTTTGCAATGTCATTGTATATACTTTAAATCCTAATAAAAGAATTTAGCTTCTATACGTTGAAAGTGAAAGAAATTTTAAGTTTTGGTTGCTATTCTGGGATTAATTAAGAATTCCAGGATTATAATCCTAAATCTAAGGAGTATTAGATAGTTAATACCATAAATCTTAATATAAAATTTATACCGATATTAACTAATATTTATAATCAAACTTAACATAAATACAATATCAAATTCTATTTCGAAAGTTTGTTAGTCGAGATTAGTACTATTTTATACCTGACAGATGTCACAACGAGGAGAGTCTTTGAAAGAAGGATGAATTAGAGAAAAACGAAGGTGTTTGCTAGCAAGCTTGTTGGCATGGTGAACTTGATAATCACAACGTTGGCAAAGAGTAGCTTCATCTGCTGAACAATAAACTGATGCCTCTTCTTTATCACAAACATCACATTGAATCTTCATTTCTTTCTTTTTTTCTCTGTTTTCTTTGTACGGTTTCCCTTAAACAGATATATGTACATATATAGTAAGAAATATTAGTTGGAAGGGAGTAATTTAATTTGGGAAAGAGACAAAAGTTTTATGGGCACAACACAGCTAATGTCTGAGGAGTTCAGAAACTCTTTAAATCTTTCACTGACTGACTAATAAGAGAAAGCTCTGGAAAAGTAGCCATGGCTTCTGTCCAAATAAATGTGAATATAAAAGAAAGGAAACAAGTGGGGCGCTAAAGCCTATATTCTATTCACTTTAACAAATTTGTTTTTAGTCTTATGATCCCATATTTTTTTTATAAAGGGGAGATTTGCTTTTACATATAAAATACAAATAAAAAAAATCTAAAAAATTTATCTTTTACACATAAGAGATCTATCTTTTACATATAAAAAATCTAAGAAAGACAATTTCTTAATTTCAACATTGTAAAAAGTTATAAAAGCTTATATCCTCCAAAAATTACTATTAGGTGATATTTTTTATACGATTTTGGTAGAGTTACATATATGTTCGGAAAAAAATATTAGCTATTAGGTGTATCATGTGAAATGGACGCATGCTCATTTAAATATTACCGTTATAATAATTAAGAAGTGAAAATTGTCCTAAAAGATGATAGCTCAAATCTTAACATTGACAAAATTGAAGATAATTTCTTCTCAATTATCTATGTTTTTGTTAGTATACTGTATTTGTAAAAATAATTTTCAAGAAGAAAAAAACGTATAAACAGAAATGTAGAAGAAGTAGAAATTAAATGGATTACACACCGGTGTAGTGGTACTTCAAACCCAGTGTTTCATCGAACACAAGTGGCGGCAATAAATCACACTTAAGTTGTTTGTTTTGTAAGAAAACAATGCAGAAAGGAAGAGGAAAATTCAGAAATTTCGTAAGGAAAATCTGAGGAATGGCCTTCTATATATAGTCAGCAGGTTGGGTATAAATGAAGAGGTGCAACTCTTTAAGATGATCATTCACGTAAAAAAGCTATTACATAAATGTCTATTTACGCAAAAATAAAATGGAAAAATTAAATCGGAGGAAAACTTTATTACCGTTACAAAAATGTTTGATTTGGATTAAATATTAATAAATTTGGTACAAAAAATTAATCAATCAATCATTTGACTGAAGCCGAAACCGAAGCCGAAGCCGAGCCGAGTGAGCGACGACGACGACGACGACGCGAGGCTTGCCTTATTCTCAACTCTTTAAGAGCTAGAAAGAAGTGTAATCATATACATACTCAACAAATGAGCTTTCCTCCTCCAATATGGGACAATGTTCCTTTGTCAAGGAGGGAAATTCAAAATTTTATTTTTCCCTCCATTTTCCATTTACCCTCTTTTAAGCTAAACCAAGCTTAAAACCCCAACAATCCCTCACATGAATGGGGAATGACTACATCACAGAAATATGCATGAAAACTATGTGATTTGCAAGCAAGAATTAATCGCATCTGGATAAGTAGGTTTCCCTTTGAACTTTCTGTAGTTAACTTATGTTGGATATACTCGGTCAATCGGTAGATTTGATATCTTTGAACCATCGAACTTTAGTGTATACCTATACAACCATAAGTCACACAATCAACCCTTAACCGTCTTTGGTTCTCATTATTATGTTCGTTTCTGCCATGAACACCGCCTGGTTTCATATGTGCGTAGAGAACTGGCTTTACAAAGTTCTCCTTGAAGAGGCTAACACTTCACACTTACATAGGTGTTTCTTAAGGTGTCATCCCGTAGATACACTATTTGATATACCCCGTATCAAACTTAGAAACCATTAAAAAAGCCTTTGTTTTATCCTTGGTACTGAACATTATCTCATCACGAGAATGGACCAAAAAAGTTTAGTTGACAATGTTGAACTGCCATTAATGACTTTGTTTGATCTCCTTGAACCTAGATGTTGCGATCTCCAGTCTTCTAGGTAGAGTTACTGCCACAATGACTTGTCCTCGGCCATAATCTCATTCTCCTCGATGATTTCTTAACTACCTCTCTAGTTAGGCCTTTCGTAAGTAGATCCGACACATTATCGCTTGACTTTACGTAATCAACTATGATAATTCCTCTAGAGCGTAATTGCCTAATGGTTTTATGTCTTCGTCATATATGACGAGATTTACCATTATACATAACGCTCCCAGCCCTTCCAATTACCGTTTGACTATCGCAGTGTATACATATTGGGGCCAACGATTTGGGCCAAAATGGAATATCTTCCAAGAAATTTCGGAGCCATTCAGCTTCTTCGCCGGCTTTATCTAAGGTTATGAACTCAGCATCCATTGTAGAGCGGGCAATACAAGTTTGTTTGGACGACTTTCAAGATACCTCTCCTCCATCAATAATGAATACATATCCACTTACGGACTTAGAATCAGTTGAGCCGGTGATCCAATTTGCATCACAGTATCCCTCAATCAGTGCATGATATTTACTGTAATGCAAAGCAAAGTCTTGGGTATGTTTAAATATCCCAAAACTTGTTTCTTTGCCATCCAATCAGATTGACCTAGATTACTCGTGTATCGACTCAATTTACTTATAGCACAAGGTATATCTAGTTGTGTACAATTCATGATATACATTAAACATCCCAACACACGAGCATAATCAAATTGTGATATGCTTTGGCCTTTGTTCTTTGCTAGTGCAAAATTCACGTAAATTGGAGTCTTTGCAACTTTAAAATCTAAGTGCTTGAATTTTTCAAGAACTGTTTTAATATAATGAGATTGTGACAATGCCAGGCCTTGTGGAGTCTTATGGATATTAATACCCAAAATTAAATCGGCAACTCCCAAATCTTTCATATCAAACTTGCTAGTTAGCATACGCTTAGTCGCATTTATGTTGACAATGTCATTACTCATTATCAGCATATCATCCACATATAAGTAAATAATGACTATATGATTTGAAATATTTTTAACGTACACACATTTGTCACATTCATTTATCTTTAAACCATTTGACAGCATTATTTGGTCAAATTTCGCATGCCATTGTTCTACATACCATCTTTTCTTTACCTGGAACCACAAACCCTTTAGGTTGTTCCATGTAGATTTCTTTCTCCAAATCTCCATTTAAGAAGGCCGTCTTAATGTCCATTTGATGAATTTCAATACCATATACTACAGCTAATGCTACTAATGTTCGTATGGACGTAATTCTTGTAACTGAAGAATATATATCAAAATAGTCAAGACCTTCTTGTGTCTATACCCTTTGACTACAAGTTTTGCCTTATATTTATCCAAGAGGAAGATCAACCAATTCTCATGTGTTGTTGTTCAATATGGATTCTATTTCACTATTGGCTGTCTCTTTCCAAAATAATGATTCCGAAGAAGATATAGATTCTTTAAATGTTCGAGGCTCAATTTCCAATAAGAAAATCACAAAATCTGATCAAAATGAAGTAGACGTTCTTTGACGTTTACTGCGTCTTGGATCCTCCTGATTAGATGTACTTTGCTTTGTTTCTTCCCGAGGTATATATTTTCGAGGAATTCAGCGTAATCTGATTCTATAACCGTATTATTATGAATCTCAAAATTTTCTGATTTATGAACCAGAAATCGATATGCTTTACTATTGGTCACATATCCTATGAAAACACAATCAACGGTTTTAGGTCCTATCTTTACCCTTTTGGGTTTAGGAACTTGCACGTTTGTCAAACACCCCCACACGTTAAAATAATTCAAGTTGGGCTTCCTTCCTTTTCATTTTTCATATGGAATGGATTGCGTTTTGTTATTGGATATTCGATTTAGTATCCGGTTAGCCGTAAGAATGGCTTCCTCCCACAAGTTCTGTGGCAAATCTAGGAGTAGCAATTTGAGCCCAAACTCATCCAACCTGCCCAGAGATTAATGGATTGGCTACAATATTTTAACTCATGGGTCTATTTGGGCTTAGCTCAAGTTAACCCATTATTTTTTATAGCCCATTCTGACCCATGAAGTAGCCCAATTACAANCCCGAAAAAAAATACTCTTTGTTTTGTATTTTTAATTTTCTATTTTTTGCACCCCAAAAATTACTATTAGGTGATATTTTTTATACGATTTTGGTAGAGTTACCTTATATATATGTTCGGAAAAAAATATTAGCTATTAGGTGTATCATATGAAATGGACGCATGCTCATTTAAATATTACCGTTATAATAATTAAGAAGTGGAAATTGTCCTAAAAGATGATAGCTCAAATCTTAACATAGACAAAATTGAAGATAATTTCTTCTCAATTATCTATGTTTTTGTTAGTATACTGTATTTGTAAAAATAAATTTGGAGAAGAAAAAAATGTATAAACATAAATGAAGAAGAAGTAGAAATTAAACGGATTATACACTGGTGTAGCGGTACTTCAAACCTCAGTGTTTTAACGAACACAAATGGCGACAGCAAATCACACTTACGTTGTTTGTTTTGTAAGAAACAATGCAGAAAGGAAGGGGAGAATTTAGAAATTTCGTAAGGAAAATCTGAGGAATGGCCTTCTATATATAGCCAACAGGTTGTGTTTAAATGAAGAGGTGCAACCCTTCAAGATGATCGTTCACGTAAAACAGCTATTACATAAATAACTATTTACGCAAAAATAAAACGGGAAAATAAAATCTGATGGAAACTTTAAATTATCGTTACAAAAGCAGTCGATTTGGATTAAATATTATTAAATTTGGTACAAAAAAATTAATCAATCAATCATTAGACCGAATCCGAATCCAAAGCCGAGCGAGCGACGATGGCGCGAGGCTTGCCTTCTTCTCAACTCTTTACGAGCTAGAAGAAGTGTAATCATACCGAAGCCGAACGACGCGAGGCTTGCCTTCTTCTCAACTCTTTAAAAGCTAGAAGAAGTGTAATCATACCGAAGCCGAGCAACGACGACGGCGCGAGGCTTGCCTTCTTCTCAACTTTTTAAAAGCTAGAAGAAGTGTAATCATACTGAAGCCGAAGCCGAAACCAAAGCCAAGCGACGACGACGGCGCGAGGCGGGCTACGATCCCTCTCTCGTTGTTGTTCCCGGACCACCCATCTCTTCCCCCTTCGTCCAGCCCGGTGAGATCATATTTCAAGAACAAAGTGAAGTGATAGGAAGAGAAGACTGTTGGCTGGAAATCCATATTCATGAAAGCCCATTGTAAAGGGGAAAACAAAAGTGTGCTCCTGCGCACCAGCTGAAGAAATGAG